GCCTGGGCAATGCAGGACGTTGCCCCACCACTGTGCCAGAATCAGGTCGACTGCCCATTAAGCCAGCTCCTGTGGATGGGGCTGAGGGAGGGGGCAGCTTCCACAGTCCTGCTGTGATTCCTTGCAGCGTTCACTTGGTTTCTTTAATCTGATCCCATTGGTGTGGTGACCCAAAGCCTGAACAAATAAAACTACGCCTGCTACTGCATTTCAATAAATACAGCGTGACAGAACGTGAACTCCACAAAGCACATTAACACGGAGCCTGCTCCCCTATCCCTCTTGCCATTTAAGGTCCTAAAAGAAGAGTGCCCCCAGCTATCCCCACCTACTGCAGAGCCAAATTGCCCAGGCAGGCAGCTCTGGGGTCCTCTGGCAGCCTTGTGCAGGCAAGGCGGTGCTCTCCTGGCAGGAGCCCTCCGTTCCCCTCTGGAGTTTTAAAAAAGGAGCACCATCCTTTTTCTCACAGGGGCTAAGACCATCCTGCCGTGGTCCACTGCTAAAGTAAAAGAGAAAATATATTCCCAGTGACAATAATCTACATCACATTTTGACGTTTTGTGCCCCTAGACAGTGTTCAGGCCTTGAAAAGAACAGCGCCGGGTCCCTTCTGACCTTCCTGCACACCACTCTTAAATGAATCTCACCCAGTGCAACTTTCCATCTTCATTCACATGCTGCTGGCATAGCAGCCTTCTAGATGTTACTCATCCTATTGTTCTCCTGGTTTTCTCACTAATGCCCACCTGCCCCTTGCAAACTGCTTTCCACAGGACACTTGACCTAGGAAGAAAGGTCATATATGCACATTGGAAGAGCTGTGCTCTTTGTTTTGCAGGTTGTCAGGTACTTTTGGTCTATCATCTATTTGCTCATTGGTAAAATGTGATTTTGCACAATTGTGCAAATCCACATATAACTTTGTACTTCTAAAATATGCAAATCCCCTCATGCATATTCACATTGAAAATGCATATTTTCAGGCTTTAGCCTATGGGTGACATGGGCAGTAGTTTTCCTATATTTTTTCTGCAACTAAATTCACAGGAAATGATGGGGATTTTTTTTAAGTCCACAGAAGTTATGCAACTTAGGAAGAGCTGGTTCACGGCAGAATCCAAAGGTCAAATTCTTAGAAATTCAAACTCACTTTAACCTATTGTGGATTTCTCCAACCTGCCTAGAAAGGGTCACTGCTCATAGTCCCTTCACTGCCAACTTACCTGTGGCCAGGTGAGTGCTTGTTGAAAAAGGGAGAATAGCAGCCACTATCTCTGGTGCCAAGTTTGACCACTGCCCATTTGAAAAGCAGAAGTCCCATCTCACTTAGCCAGTCAGTGTGATGGAAGGGAGCATAGGTCTTCAAATTTCAGCATGTGACTGTCTCCACTCCCATCTGCCAGGATTTCTTCAGCCGCCTCCCTCTTCAGCTCTTAAACCTACAATTAGCTTTCGATAGCTGCTGCATTTCTTGCAGGGCTGGAAAGGATTTTTCTTCTGTCATTTGCTTGCCCTTTAGTGACCATGGATTTTTCCTTCCATGGATCCTGTTCAAGTGGACAAAATCTCCAGTTGTCTCTCTGAACTTCGATTGCTGGGAGGGGCTGAAGACAACAACTAACTTAATGTGCCTACCTGGCCCCCAAGATCTGAGGTGGAAGCCCCTTGGGAGCCCACCTTGAAGGAGATTAGGAGGGTGGCTACCTAGAGAAGGGCCTGCTCTGCAGTGGCACCACAGATATGGAATGCGCCCCCTAGAGAGGTTTGCCTGGCGCCAACATTCTATTCCTTTGGGCGCCAGGCTAAAACATTTTTATTTTCCCATTATTTTAATGTTTAATTAAGTTTTAATGTGGGTTTTATTTTATTGGAATTACTTGGATGCTGTGCTTCATTTCATTTTATGCTGCTTTTACTGTAAGACCATCCCTACTGTAAGAAATGCTAGTAGTTGGATGGGCATATAAAAGCTTTAAATAGATAGATAGATAGATAGATAGATAGATAGATAGATAGATAAGATAGATAGATAGATAGATGCTTATGAAAATAGCTTTGTTAATCATTGTAAATTTGGGCCTGGGTAAAGTGAGGGATGATAATGAGACTGGAATTGGGAGGTGTCCTAACTTGATAGAGAGCCACCGTGGTGTGGTGGTTAGAGTGTTGGACTACAGACTGGAGAGGTCCAAATTCCAGTCCCCACTCAGCCATGAAGCCCACAGGGGCACTTTTAGCCAGTCACTCACTCTCAGTCAAACCCACCTCACAGGTTTGTGGTTATGAGCATAAAATGGAGTCAAGATTATGTAAGCCACTTTGTGTTCCTCAAAAGAGAGGGAAAAGGCAGGGTATAAATGGAAAGTAACAACAACTCTGTGATTCAGCAATCTTATATGCTAATGTTTGGACTGTAAAAGGTACTTGAGGTTCCCAGATGGGCTTAAAAGGACTCCATAATCCTATGCACACTGAAACAGAAAAAAGTGGGGGAATGATAGAAGTTGCTGGTCTTTTCATCTGTCCAAACACACATATGATTGCACCTTTGAGGTGTTTAGATTGTGATCTAGAAGCTTTGCTCTACATGCATGATTCACTGTAGTTTATTCTTACGTAACTGTGAACCTGCAATATGTATGTTGGCTAAATTCCACATGCCTCTACCCAAGCTGGGGACACGCCAGTTGGATTAAGTGTTAGGGTTGGTCTCTTGTTGCCTTGTGACTCTGCTCGCAATGCCTCCACTACGTAAGAGGCATGTTTATGAAGTGGCTCTGGCATCCCCTTCAGTAAAGCTGTGGCCTGCTTTACATCCAATTACCTGGTGCTGATCCTTTGCCTCCACCTCCACCCCCGCCCTGGAGAAAAAAAAGAATTTCTGACCAGTGAGACAAAACTTATCAGTAGGGCAGGAGAACACAGGTAGGAGATACCTACAGTCAAATATTGCAGAATATGCTTACAGTACGAGCCTCCACATGCGTATCCCCATAGTGAGTGCATCAAGGGAATTTAATCTCAGGTGAGTGCAAAGGCTTGCAACTTAAATTTTCCAGCAATCCTTTACAGTCCCTGAACATTAAGACCATAATTGATATGAGTATCTGAATTTATACAGCTGCTGCAGGCCTTGACTACTTAGAGAGTGTTCTACAGATTTTAGCTGACCATGATGGACAACATCGGTTTAGTTTCTAATAATGCATGGAGCTTGTCTCACTGCATTAAAAGATTAAGTTGCCTCTAGCAAGCTGACAAGCATTTGTGGACTCCTGCATACCGCCTCCATGTTTAAATTGATTCTGCGGGAGATTTCCAAAGCCTCTGCATCAGCAAAGGCAGGAGGAGGCAACATGGGGTGCTTCAAAGCCAAGCGGGGGCCTCCAGTGGCTCCCAGCTCCCTGCCCCACAGATGCCCTGATGCCACATGTGGGGCTCAGAGACATTCTGAGAAAATGACAGCAATACACAGTTGCAGGCCAGCACTTTCCTCTGCAGCTCACCCATTTTGAGGTGGAGCCCAGGACAGTCTGTCAAATCGCCAAATGTGTCCACGTGCCCCAATATTTGCCTACTCCTGGATTAGGGTGGCCAGGAACAAAAGAAGTCAGAGCTCTTGAACCTTCGTAATCATTGTACAAAAGATGGTGTTTCGTTAAGTATCGCTTCAACGGCCGGCTTCCCCTGCTGAAAACCCTTTTTTTACACACATATTAAGAGACTAGGCACCCACCTGCCTCTGCCTTCTTTGTGGCTGCTGCAATTTCAGGTGTGTCACCACGTGCTCCCTGTGGCTGCAGTCTGGTCCACTTTTGATGACCAGGAGCATTTTCCTTTCATGCTCAGGATGAATAGCATGGAAGCAGCTCTATGCAATCACTGAACGCACCTTGTTCACACCAGGAGGCCTGTGGCTTAGGCTGGCACTCCTTCTGGGTCCCTGCCTCTTCAGGCTGTCTCTCCTCCAAGGCTTGAGGGTTTCCCTGCCTGTCCACTAAGGCAGGATCCCAGCCTCGTCTCCGTGAGGGGATGTCTACATGGTGATGGGCCCTGAGGGCCTTGTGCCTCCTGGTGTACTGGCAGACCCGGCCACTAGTGGGGGCAGGCAAAGTCTTTCAGATGGGGGGATCACATAAACGAAGTTTTGACTCACCAGTAGGTATTCCAAAGGTCAGGGAAAACGCATCTCTCAAGGACGGGGTGCAGGTCTAGGTGTGGACCACAAATCCAGCTTGCTTGAGATCCAGTCTGGCCCTCTGACTTCTTGGCTGCACCCCACTTTTCTTGGCCCACCTCTTTCCCCAAACCATCCATTGTTTGGGAATTTCCTGCTGCTGAGTATGTTGTTTCCATTGCAAAAGTCTAATAAGACTCCCATGCAGCTTGGCTCCTGGCAGTATGAACGTGGTCGCACTACGCTGGTCCTGCCCCTTTCTGACTTTGCCTTGTCCTTGTCTGCCTTCAGGCCCCGCTGCCCCTGGACAGTGGGCCCCAAGAACTTCTCCAGAACAGCCTCCGGGCCTCCCTTTGGGCCTGGCGCTTCAGGGGCAGGAGGGTCCACTGTCGCATTGCCAGGCATGTCCTTGGGAATGCATATAGTAGGAAATCCAAGGCCCTGGACCTCAGGCCGAAAGTCCTACAGATGTAGCCAGTCAGAGCAGGCAGGCAGGCTCTTAGTTGATTATAACAATGTTTTGAAGCATCAGCAGGTGGCCTTTTCAAAGAAGGAAAAAGGAGGGAGAAGAACCCTCTCTAAAGTTGGAAGCCAGTGTGCAGCGCGTGTTCACGGGGAAAAGCACCCCCTCCCCCCACAAGTTTAGCCGCTCCCGCTTCTGAGAAAGCCTGCCTTGGATGGTGCAGAATGTTCCTTAAATTGCTGGTCTTTTTCAGCTTGAGACTGCAATCAAAGTAATGAAAGGGACAGGCTAAGCTGTGCCTTTATTCATTCGTGTGTTCTCTTCCCTCCCTCCCTGTGCCCTTTTCTCTTTCCCCCTCAGAGCGCAACTGTTCATATTTCACCCACTTCGTCTCGGGAGAGAGCACGGAGATATTTCACGTGTCAACACAGAGAGGTAAGGCCGAACCCTCCACAATCATGCCAGCACCCCTTGCCGGAGAGACCAGAGCCTGCTCCTGGATCGAGCCAAGGTCCAGTGCAAGGTGCGGGGCATGGCCCCAGTATTGACAAGAAATGGGCCGCAAAAGAAAGGCCTCTCAGAACATCACTGGTGAACTTTCTAGGCCAGGGTGGGTGCTTTTGGGAGACCCAGGCCATTTTGATGCCCATACCCCACACTCTGTGAAATGCCCCAGAAAACCTACACCAAATAATAATAATAATCCCCCCGCCCCACGCATATTCCATTGGTTGTGTTAGTGCCATGAAGTACTAAGCAAATTTAGCTTCAAACACTGGCCCACTTTGCATGCTGGGCTGCAAGTGGGAGCCACAGGCCGCCAGCAGGTTGTGCATTGCCCATCTCTGTTCCAGGCCAGAAAACCTAGGAAAGGAGATGGAGATGAAGATTACCACGGCATGTGCTGAAAGGTGTGGGCTGCCATCATATGCACACATACTGGGAGTCAAGATTACACTGGGAGCGAGGCGGCTCCTCACAGGTGCCTGTGAAAGGTTTCCTTTCTTTCCCGCGGAAGCCTGTATAGGTAGCATTGCAAGACAGCCCTCCTTCCATCAGAATCACTGGCTGAGTGACAGGTGGCTCTGTCTGCTCCCTCATTATGGCACGGAAAAGGGCATTAGCTCGACGCACACATGCTCTTTACTGTGCCTTGGAATGACAAATTCTATGGCAATATTCACTGTTCAGAACTATTAGTGAACTGTATTTGAATTCTAGTGGGTTGCAAGGTCTACCAGGTCTTTGGTGATACTCACTACGTGTATATAATTTCTTATTATAAATAAGTGACAATAATGCATACACCCACTCTGTTCTTTGACTCAAATGCATTCACTGAATATGCACTGATGTGTTATCATCACATGAATGCAGACGGTCAAGAGGAGAAGGAAATCTATAAGCATTTTGTTTCACAAGCAGCACAAGTATAATAGATAGTATGAAATCACCTTTCAAATTAAAAGATGAGATAGTGAGTCAGGTGCAGTGGATCAATTTACATGTCTGAACTGCAATATGTTTTAACTAGTTGATAATTTTATGTAGCAGATATCTAAATGATTTTTTTTTAAAGAGATAGCAACCCACTGGCCCCGGGAGAGCATCCTGGGAACCATAGGATTGTTTGGAAAAGTTGGATGTGGACTAACTCCCTTCCTGTACAACTGGCACAGAAAGAACCACCCTTCAGGGTCAGAAAAGTATCCTTGCAGGAGGAGAGTGGGTGTTTTTGTGGGTTAGTGGGGAAGGAACCAGAAAGGCCAGGATACCACCTGGAGCCTCTTCCAGCTGCCTTCCTGCCAGATGCGCCTTTGCTTGAATGTCGAAAAGCCCTTCTAGAGAGAGTACAGGGGCTTCCAGGCACCCTTAGGCTGTCATCCTGTACCAGTTTACCTAAGAATAAGCTGCATTGGATTAAACAAGACTTATTTTGAGCGGGCAGGTATAGAAATGAGTTGTTCGGTATTTTACTTTAATTGAGAGGAAGAGATGCTGCCTTTTCCTGAGTCAGAACGATGGTCACACACCAGCTCCTGAGGAGCCTGGGCAGGCAGAGCTCTTGCCCCATCGTGCTGAGGGATCTCGGGACGGCTGGTGAACAGAGGGGTGGTCTGACCCAGCAGGACCTTTTCAACCTGGAAAGCAGTGTGGAGCAGGCCCTCTTCAGCCCCTGCCAGCACCCTCAGCCTCAGGACCGGTTCTTTCTGTGGTCAGTGAGGCCATCCTGCCGGCCCTGATGCAGGCAGGCAGGCAGGAATCATCGCTGTTGGAGAGTGCTGATCAGGAAGGTCAACACCACTTTGATATTAGGTGCACGTACATTTCAAGATCCCCTGACTATTGAAAGCCCCCAAAGCAGGGCGTTTGCACACCTCTCCCTCAAGATATGAATCACGGCCTAGGGCTTTAGGTACTAGTCACATAGCCAAGGTGTATTCCACATGCCCAGACAAGCATGGACTAGGACAGCAGAGGTCCTGGCCATGATGGCTTGAACTGGCATCACTCTGCACACACACTGGAACTCCCCAATAGTACAAATTAGGAAGGCTCCAACCCCTCTGGGTTTTCCACACCTACTGAAAAGACACCTTTTCCAAGAAGCTTTCTCAGAATGCAGTTCTCACCTTCCTTGTTGCCATGGCATCACCTCTTCCAAGTCTTATGCAGCAGCTCGCAACCTTTGGACCTTAGAAGTTTATAAGCATTCAGTTGACCAAGCAAACTTCACTCCTTGCACTCCGCTGACCCCCAAGAGCATTTGGAGGGCTGATTTTGGCCACTGGAATGTTTTTGCCCTCCTTGTGAGGAGAAAGGACTGAGATGCTGCCTTGCCTCTCTCTGCTCCACCCCACAGAGCCCCTCCCACCCAGCTCCTGTCCCAGTTATTCTTTTCTCTCAATGCATTCAAGGACAGTCCTAAACTGTTATTTATTTTTGATTGTTCTTGCTCTGCTTACTTGGTATAATTTTGATTTTTTTTAAATGTGATTTTAATTGATTTTATCATTGTTTTTAGTATTTTACTGTAAGCTGCCTAGAGAATCCATCTAGATTAGTGGGCAGCATACAATTCCAAAGATGAAAAATTCAAATTCAGATAAATAATTATTCACTTGACAGGAAATCCTCGGAAGTCCACTGCAAAAAGGACTTCCTTTTTGTGAACCATCTCAAAAGTGAACCATCTCAAAAATACTGTTCAGGATGTTCAAAAGCATCCTAAATGTCTGTCACTCACTCCCAAGTGGTTTCAGCCTGTAGTATGAGCAAACGAGATGTGACAGCCGTGGTTGCAACACACAGGTAGGAAGGGGAGAGTGTGATTTTCAGAGCAAAGGTCATGTGGAGGCAAGGGGTGCTCTGGTGCCCTGCTTCTCCAGGCCCCCCTCCCCAGGTGCTTTTCTCCTTGCTGAGGTCACCTCCAGCAGCAGCACTCGACTGAGGAGTAAAACCTGGAGGAGAGGTGCTGCGGACAGGCGGGAGTGTTCTGCATCATTACCTGTGTGCATTTTTAGCTTTGGAAGAACATGGTACTGTTCCATGTAATGTGGGACAGAATTTCTCCATCATATTACATTTGGTTCTCCAGAGTACAAAAGTGGAAGTCAAAAAAGGTAAAGGGAATGGCAATCTAAACGTTCAGGTTGGAAATGTACTTCTACTGGAGACATTCTGATCTTTCCTAGAAGAAGAATGGAAAGGGGAGAAAGGCACTGTGTACCTGGAAACTAATGCAATATGTACACAAAACTGGATTATTTGGTTAGGGCAGCTTTTTGCAACCTGGTAGTTTCCAAATGAATTCAACTACAATTCCCAGAATTATCTAGTGAGACATGCTGGCTGGGGGATTCTGGGAGTTGTAGCACAACACATCTGGAGAGCACCACGTTGTGAAAGACTGAGTCAGTGTGTTTACTCATACATAGTCTACTAATTCAGACACTGGGTTGTTTCCTTAACAGAAATTTACCACACATTATGTATCCAGAGCAAGAACACCTATGGGATGTACTTATTCCTAGTATCTGAAAAAAGCAGATAGAGATGAAATTCTGTTGATAGGGAGGAAAAGAGTGTCATGGTACTGAGGAATATGAATCTCTCAAACCTTCTGTTTTGAAGGCATTTATGGCCTCCGCTGCCCAAGGAAAGCCTTGGAATGCCTCCCTTTAAAGTGGTAGCCTTGTTATCCTGAGAGGAAAATATGGATCCATGGTTTTGATTTGTTTTAGAGCGAATCCTGCAGCACTGATGGTGTAACACATAATATATCAATATTAGCACCATAACCACAAACTCCCAAGCCAGAACTGGCTTTTTAGGCCACTGGCCATTTTGGAGAGACTTGAATTCAGGAAGAAGGACCTAGTTTCCTGGGCTTGCTTGTGTGAGAGAAGAATGAATGCTGGAATTCTGCAGGCATTTCTCCCCACCCCACAAAAAAGACTAGGCAAAAGAGTCCTGCAAAACCTGAGACACCTGGAAATTTCCTCATCTATAGCACCTAGCAAACACGAACACGGAACTCTCCTCTTATTTAGAGAACCAATAGTTAAGGCCATCAAGAAGCCATCAAACTCCATCCGACAATGGAATAAGCTCCATAAGCTTGGGAAGCTTATCTTTCTCGTAAGTCACATGTGCAGAGAGAAATTGTATAAATACTAGGGTGTTAGAAAGGAGCACTCCCTGCCCCTGCCAGAATTCTGGGCGCACAAGCACTTCTGCTGCAGGATGGGTAGTGGACCCTTCCCCCCACCCCCCAGCTGCCTCTTTCTGTTAGCCCCTGTGTTAGGTAGGAAACTCTTTCCTTCTTTAGAAATATAGAGTAAGACTAGGATGTAATGGGAATATTTGCTGTCTGGACCACATGGAGGCAAAGCTTGTGCCTGCTCTATATTTTTCTGATGAATAAACTCTCCTTTTCCACTCTCAGTGCTGTGTGTTTGTATGCATGGAAAAACAGGACTTGTGCTTTCTGGCCATGCATATTAAACCCTAGCAAAGAGTTCTAAGCCTTTTGAGGCAAAGTGCCTCCTTTTGAGGTGTCTTCCCCCACAAAATTACCTGGTGTAACAGTGTGGTGGAAAGTTGTGCAGAGAGTTACCCTCCTTTTCCCTCTGTGTTTTTTCTTGCTAGAATACAGTATTTCCGCTGCAGCCATTGCCATCTTCAGTGTTGTCTTTTCCATCATTGGGACCATTTGTGTCCTCTTGTCCTTCAGGAAAAAGATGGACTACCTCCTGAGGCCAGCATCCATGTTTTACACCTTTTCAGGTAAGGCCTCATGCAAGGGATGTAAATTTCGTAGTGTGAATGTAAATTTATGAATGCACATTTCATGGTGTGAATCGAATGCTGGAAGAACTGAAAAAACCTGGACGTGGTTGAAGACACTAGAGGCATCCAAGGCAAAACTGGACAACCATCTGAGTGGGATGGGGTGACCTGACATCCTGCATCAGCAGGGGGTTGGCCCTGATGGCCTTCTTGGCTCCTTCTGACCCAACTATTCTGTGATCCTGTAACCTGCAAGACATTGCCGCAGCATCTTGAGCAATGGACAGGTAATTTTCTTGTCAAAGGAAACTGTAGTTCTCTCCCTCTCCCTCTCCCTCTCCCTCACCCACACACACACACACACACACACACACACACACAGAGCAAGAGAGAGCGAGTCGAGAGCTGCTGCCTGCAACAGCTGTCTCTCCATTCCACTTGGGAAGACAAGCAGGAGGGTGCTTTGATGCTCCTGGGTTGCTTTTGGGCTTCCTGTAGGCATCTGGCTGGCCACTTTGGCAACAGGATGCTGGACTAAGTAGACCTTTGGTCTGATCCAGCAGGGCTCTTCTGACATTTCCAAGCAATCAGAAAGAAGACACTGAGATTCATTTATACTGAAAACCGATCAACCTAAATTGTTTCATCTACTCATAGCTTTCCCTTCTCCCTCTCTGCAGGCTTGTGCATTATCATTTCTGTGGAAGTGATGAGGCAGTCTGTCAAAAAGATGATCGACAGCGACGACACTGACTGGATTGAGTACTACTACTCGTGGTCCTTTGCCTGCGCCTGCACTTCCTTCGTCCTGCTCTTCCTCTGTGGGGTTGCTCTCCTGCTCATCTCCTTGCCCCGCATGCCCCAGAACCCCTGGGAAACCTGTATGGATGCCGAGCCAGAACACTAAGCTCCTCTAGCTCATGTTGCCACTCAAGCAGCATCATAAAGCCCTGCTCCCCACCCACAAGGCCACCTATATTTAGATATTACAGCAGGCCACCAGGACTGGAATGGAGGAGGTTGACTGAAGAATCTTTGGGTAACACCTGTTGATAAAATGAAAGGGGAGTTGAAACACACAGTATTATTCAGATTACCAGCTATGCGTGCTAGTGCAGCTCATTGAATGTAGGGGAGGAAAGGATGGCGTTAATCCAGTTGAATGAAAACCTGCAATGGAGGAGAGATCGGCTTGGTCCAGGCTGGAAACCTGTGCCCCCATTTGGTGAAGTAGGGAGCTGGAGAAGCGAGAGATCCAAGCCATGCGTTAGCCACTGGTTAAGCCCACTGGTTTTTCTCATCAGAATCATCGGAAGGAGAGTGGCTTGCTGGACCACCGTAAAGAATGTTACCGTCCATTGGTGGGGCATGTGGCACTGTTATGCATGTTCTAATAAAAAGATTTTGGATACTGTTCAGGTGGACATGTTTTCATGAGCACATCACCGTGTGATGCTAGCATTCATTAGTTTATTATACTCCCCAGGTCCATGGTGGTATAATTAATGGTGGAGCTGGTAAAGCAAGTAATATGCACAGAATTAGAGGGCTACAAGGAATCTCCTCCAAATAACATCCCGCTAGCCTACTGGCCGATATCATGTCGCAGGTTTGCATTTTACCACTGCTGTTAGCAGCAGCCAATCTGCTGATATTGGCTCTGGGGTGCCAATCCTCACCACACTTCCAAGAGAGTATTTGGCAGCACAGCAGAGACCTCGGCTGTGGCATAATCACGTAGCAAGGCTGGCGGGGGCAAGAGGCACTATCAAAAGGGGTGAGGCTTTAGACCAGCTGGCAAAAAGCTTGCTGAAGCGAGAGGGGCCACAAGAGGCAGCTGAGACATAAGCAGCAGAGCGAGTATTAACTCGGGGGGGGGGGGGGGGGGTGATTCTGGTCCCTGTGATCAATCTGGCATTCTACACAAAATGCAACTTCTGAACCATCTTCAAATATATATGTCAGCTTAAAAAGGCTCATTGAGTTTACCAAGTCTGCTGTACATTGCCTCCACAAAAAGAAAGTAAAAGAAAAGAACATAATGCAGCACGTATTAATCATGCAACATGGTAGTTGTACCAGTGGCTAATGCATTCCATTGTGCATTCATATTTCTGTTCATTGCAGCTCACAGCATGTTTGGGAAAACTTGCCTGCCCCATATGCATAATAACGTGTGTCTGCTAATAAGCAGCTCCAATTTACAGACAAGGCGAACGTGGGTTAAGGAAGAAGTGGGGAGGATCCAGAATCATTCCTCCACTTCTGACACACCCTTTCCTCCTCTGTGCCCCCCCAAATCTCCTCCAGAGGCTTGTCGAACCCTCCAGAATTGGATTTAGAGGGCATGGAGGGGAAGAACACAGAAATTCTATTCCACCAGAATTATTGTTCCATGGCTGGAGGGATGAAAACTAGTCTTGGTGATTAACTCCAGGGGGCTTCAGCGAGGCCCAGTGGCTAACCCTAACCCTAATGCTAAGCCTGGAGAGTCTGTACAAATTCGCCCTGTGAATACATTTTGCAGAAAGCAGGGGATCTGTCTTTTCACCCACCCACCCACCCACACGCCACTTGGCTACTTCTGACTAACATATCCATTCACTCAGATGTCACTATCTGGTGGAATGTTTAGCTCACAGCTCAGAACTGTGCTAATGCCAGGATAGAGGAAGGCAAAAAACTCCAGTCATGGATTTCATACATGCACGTGCCACAACATGCAAGAGGATGAATTTTGGAAAGCACCACCTTCCAGCATCAAGCTCATTTAGGATGGAGACTTAGAGTTGCTGTGTCATCATCCAACAGAAATGTGGATGAGTGGACAAAAGCCCCCAAAATGCTATGGTGTCATAAGAAGCAGAGCACATATTGATAGATGTTATAGATCTCATCTACTTTACTTGACAAGATCATAGTCTGCAATTTTCAAAAGAAGTACTTGAATAGGAATGGCATCAGGAACAGGGTGATACCAGAAAAAATGCAACTTTGAATAAGCTGGCATTGTAAATTCATCACTGTAAGTCCTTATCCAGTTGCAGCTGCACTGTGAGAAGCTGTTGCGTGCAGTTAGTCAATCAGGAAAGGCCATCCAGGTAGGATTGATTCAGGATCTGGGCTGCTCTGCTCTGGGACTCAATCTGGTGGCCAGAACCAGAACACCCACTTTGGTAGTCAGGCCTGCTGGGCATCAGCCTCCTGGTGAGCCCTGGGGGAAGAGCTGGATAAAAGCAAGCTCTTCCCTGCAGAACAGGCCTCAGCAACACAGGGCCTCCTGTTTGCTGTAGTGCCTGCACCTTGCTTGACACTTGCGGTGTCCTGCCTTGCTGCATCATCAGGGCTTGGGTGCATCCCCTCCCAGCCGTGCTACCTCGCCTCGCTTGCCACATCTTCACTGTTCCTCACTGCTGCCCAGTTATCCTGCCTCAAAGCACCTTCCCGCTGCTCTGTTTGTCTTTCTGATTCTTGACCCTTGGCTTGTTTCCAACTGTGCCCTTGTCTCTTGCTGGTGTATACTTCTGGTTCCCGACCTTGGCCTGTTTTGTGACTACAACTTGGACATGCTACTGAGCCTTGCTGCTGGACTTGGACTCTGTGTTGGCTTCCATTCTCTTGCCCTGGTCCTGATGTCTCCTGCCACCAGTGTCCCAGCTGCTGGCATGTTGCCTTGCCATCTGGAGAGGAGCCTGCAGCCTCATCCCCAACTACACTCCAGTAACAGTACATGATGGTCCCCCTAGCTCTGGATATGCATTTCAGGGCGGCATTCATCAGATACAGCTGTATCTTTCCCTTATTCATGCACCTGGAAAGCCTGCAACATGCCCATGCTTCCAAAGGCCACCAAGCTTTCGGCCCATTCCCAGCCCCGCAAATGGAATGTGCATTGTGAAGAAATTCTCCATGCACAGGAAGTGATGCATTTACTAGGAAAATGGCACCCAAGGCACCCAAGACAACTCCCCCCCCTCCAAAACAAACAAACAAACAAACAAACAAACCCATAAGAGTTTCAGAAGAGTGATTTCCTGCAGGACAGGAGAGAATAAGAAAGGCTTATATTTCCTCTTAATACTCATTGCAATCCAAATATCATTCTCACAGAGAGATCATGGCTGCTGTTTGAATGTTTAAAAACACGGACATAAAATGCAAACATGTCACATCCAGTTTGGCCCCAAGATAACAGAATCAAAGTTGGTGGGTACCTGAATGCCCCATTCTACAAAATCCTGCTATATCCAACCACCTAGGTGGAGCTCACAACAAAGTAAAGCATGCTATAATACAGTGCACAAGAGCAGGTTTCTCCAACTTTGCTTTTACATGCTACAAAAGGAAAGAGCTTATTTTCCCATATCTCCTCAAGCTACTTGACACAAAATACTTCCCTCCCCTGCCCCCAAGAATCTCTAACTAGAAGCTCAAAGGCAGTATGCAATCTGAAGCCCGCTTTATAGATTCCTTAACACACTTCTCACACTTGCTGACAGAAATGGTGTTTATTGGTGATTCTGACTATGCCAGTATATGCATAAAGCAAATACTGTGTCTGTTCAAGATCAAGTTAGGTCACTCTTTCTCCCCATTAATAGTTCCAAGTCCCTTTTTCTTGTCAATTAAGGGGGAAAGAATGTTTTCTGTTTCTTCCACTCCATCTGTGATTTTCTTAGCAACCCCACTGTTTTTTCCTTGGGACTCTGAAGTGATTCATGTGTGGAAAATCAGACACTTTTCTCATGTATCACAGTGCCCTTAAAAGCTTCAGGTGTTCTCAGTGAGACAGTGGTGAGGTCAGAAGAAGGGAAAGGCATCTATCAGTTTGGAGCTGGAGGGAAATTACTGGGTGAAGGGAATTAGAGTGAGTTTTCGGGAGTTCTGTTGTTGAGAAGTTTGCTAATAAACCTTTGGGGTAGAAAGCAAGGCTATGCCTGTTGCAAGTATGAATGGGGAATGGGGAAGAGGACCATACCAAGCATTTAAACTGAGAGCAGCAGATGCTCAAAATGTATGGCGGTAAATAACCCTTGGTGTGTGTGCGGGTGAGGATAGAAAGCAACTGTCCGTTTGTCAGCCCTATCTGCACACAGTGGGCATTGCTTTCGTAGAAGCACCCCTGCTGCCCAAATGGTGGTGCAGAAAGTCATTTCTCATGTTGCGGACTAAAATACCATATGCAATGTGTCTTCCTTGGTTGGGAAGTCTTGCATCAAGGAGCAAATGCAGCACTGTTGAAGACAGCACTCTCAGTCTTTGACAGACAGGCCTATTCATGTTCTCTCTGATATCTCAAAGACAGACTTGTTTACATTCTCAAGGCACAAAGGAGACAAGAAATAAGCTATAATGAACATGTAAACTGGAAATGGATGCAACTAGGCACCTCTCAGGCAGGGGCCAGGCCTAATTTTAAAATCACTTGAGGATGAAGGGCTGGCTTTCCTTAAACAAGGCTGGTTATAGGGAAGGCAGAAGAAAGTGATGGAGAGAAATTGTAATGACAATGCAGCAAAAATATCCAATGCCGTGTCCTTCAAATGATAGTTTCTGGGGTTTCTTTCCTTTTATAAATATACTTTTGCACATATTTGTAGAATGTATCACATAGCCTAATGTAGTTATTTTTAATACCTACTCCCGCGTGTTAAGTAATGTGTGAGCAAATTTAACATTGGTGAATCTTGCAATTGATACATGGACTAATCACAGCAATTTATTAGGACCATTTCAGACATTACATACTGGCAAACCTGCATTCTGTCACCAGCACATACAGTAGTTGGGGAGCAATGGTAAGTGACCCTGAAAAATCTACATTTGCAAATTTATTTGTGATATCCATACATTGTTTTCAGTTGTACACTGACATTTGATCATTCTGCAACTTAAACATAATACTAT